AGCTTCACGTAACAGTATGTCGTTACGTTCGGTCATACTCTATTTGACGACCATGCATTCTCACCAGTTACAAAAAAATTGTCTTAGGATGTTTTGGGTAGTCTGGGGCCCAAAACTGAACCACATTCATTCGTTTTTCAATGCAATAAAGTACAAAGGATATCCCCATCTTGTAAATTCTAAATTCCCAATCTGAACACATTTTTATGATCTGAGTGTATGAATATTTTTGGGAAAGGTATGTAACAGCTTATTTCCAAACTGATACATTTTCGGAGATATCACACTACTTACGAAACGTCAGACGATGTAAAAATATTCTTCTGCTGTATGCTGTACTTTCGCACTACATTGTTTCGTATTTGGTTGTCACGTGATTTGCTGATTTGTATATTCAAAATCGTTTTAATATAAGTACGCAATCCTCTGTATTACTCTGTAAATGCTAACACTCAATCTTAAACTGTAACAACTTAACAATCAGAAAGAAACACAAGTAAGAAACACAAAACACTTACTTAGAGATAAAGAAACGTGAAATTGTGGCACTTTGCGGAAGTCGCTTAACCGTAGCATCTTGTGGATATTAAGTGCGAAAATTTTCCCTTTTATAAAAGATACTAATTTGTGAACTTGTAGAAACTATGCCGCGAAGCTGTAACACTTCCAATGGGTTTACTTAGATAAATACAATTTAGTACGAATACCTGAAACATTACTAAACCCAACCTACCGACATTATAGTTGAATAAACAACTTCATTGATACTGCCATATTTAACCTTCACAACGATTATCCAAGGTGTGCAGGTGTTTGCCTCACATTATACGGGACATTTCACCCAAAATTTTCATTTGGAAAATATCAGTATTTAAAATAATTAATACTTTTTCTTGGCATTTTTCCAGTCACGCCCTCTGCGTGAAAAACAAAACAATGTTTTTAAGTTTCATGAAGCATTTTTCTGAAATTTAAAACCCCCTAAACCTAAAAATGATCAAATACTAAAATTTTTACTCATCCCCCTTCACCAAATAAATTTAACATCTGCGTAAAAATCCGAACAGAGATGATATTTGATTCGTCAAAATATATTCGAAACTCCCACAAATAACACACTATTTTCTTACAGTAAAAACGCCCAAAGTTCAAGAAACGATAAATTCTTTCACACAATCATGGAAATAACGACCGTAATTCCAACATCTAATGAGTGAAAGCAAAGATGAATATGTAGTGATACATCAATCACGCAACATCTCCATACCTAGTGTGTTACAGTGTGAACTAGATATGTATACGAAATATAATAGTTAATAATTTTACTTAAGTCATTTAAAAACCAAACATTTCCACTCAAAATATGTATTTATGATATTAGTAAGAGAAACAGCGATATTGTACATCCATCTATATATGCAAGTACCTATGCATTTCTTAATTACATATTGACAATCGATGTTATTACCTGTTAAGATATATATTTGTAATACTTGTATTATTGAAAGATTAAATAATCAAATAAGGGATAAGCATTCCAGCCACAGAACATCAGATATCGTGTCTAGTTACTATGATCATTAATCACTAACCATCAATTTGTTTCTGTTTGTTTTATTTAATGCAACGCCATTAAGGCTATTTGCCGTCGTCTCTTGAACTGTCGACTAGACGGTAGGTAACCGGCCGGCAACTTTTCTGATACATTTTATCAACAAATGTCCTCAACGTATGAAAGGGAGAGCATGTTCAACCTAGGGTTTCGATCCCACGACTTAATCAATACACCATGCCAAGTCGACTTGTGTATGTGACCCAAATATTTTCTCAAATACCAAACCGTATTTTAATAGAATTTATTACAATTGCCAAATTTCAGCTTCATCATACGATTACAGCTTCATCATCACATATTACTTTGTTTTCGTTTGGTTACAATATTGTAAAATATCTGTATTCTTGCAAGGTGCACATTTGTGACACTCTTCGCTTAGTAACGAAGTTTTTAAATTAACAAGACGTATCTTTGTAATTTGAATTTATGCTAAACATACATAACTGTAGTTTGAAATAAAACCTGATGAAAAAATATTCTTCAAGTGATCTATCATGTAATCAGAATTGTGAAAACCTTCATTTTACAAATACTTCTAGCGCGATATTCTATAATAATTAATTACAAAAAAAAGATTAACTTCAAAGAAAACTATGTTAAATATTCTGGCACTGTACGAACAGTCCTTTCCAATAATTCAAGTCTGCGCCTTAAAATACACGCATGTACACTTTCTAGCATGATATATTTAAAAAATATATTTTCACATTCGGGATCATTGTGTTATAGCTGCTTACTTCCTTGGCGGTACTGTCATGATCCATTGCAACATACCCCACTAACTCTCCTTCCCTGTAATCAATTAAAGGACTACAACAAAATACGTTATTTTTGGTCTGCTTAGAAGTAGAATATAGATCTTTATTATATTGTAGCTGACAAAGTAATTAACCCAGAATTATATTCACTTTCTGTGTTACATTATCAATCTCAGATTTAATTAAACCAGAACATTTCACGTCAACATGCAAGGTTCTTGGATGGCGTTTCTTCCTTCGTTCTGTAACTGATGGTGTAAACTTTGTTATGATGTTGTCAGTTGTTATTCGTTTAATCAACAGAACTATGGCCTACATTTGATGTGATGAAATAACTTGTATGGCAGAGGCGACCAAAGTGTCAGCGAAACCCATCTGAGGCTAATAGTAATGAGTGCTATAAAAAAAATGGTTTGTGGTATAAACATAATTACGTTACCTTCATTACTAAAATGAATTCCCTAAGTAAATTAGTTTCATCCCAAAAATGCAAAACAAGCTAAGAAGGTGTAGGGGAAATCGGAGCTTGTACAAACTAACTTACTCGAATGACTTGAATACGTTTGTACAGTAGGGAAAAAAATTAAACAGTTGAGAAAACTACAACCACATTGTAAAACTTAGAAGACTGCAGTCTGTGAGTGAATTAGCTTCTTGACAAATATGCTCACTATACAATGCATATTTAATCGTGATTCTGAATGTGAATTGGCAGGATAGAGCGCGAGTTGTAAAATCGTAATGCTCTTAATCGAAGAAATAACATTTCCAATCAGAAATCGCGGATTTTGTTCTTATTTCATCATCACAATCATATTTCCTGATTCACCACTGACAATAGAACAAAACACAATGGAAAAACAACAACAACAAAATGTAAGATTAATACATAATATCTTATTTAGAACACTACATATCTAGTTAAGCAAATCATGAAATAATGTTTAAATATAATTATTAGTTGTATTCTAAATCCCTAAACTAAATAAGGATATCTAACAATAAAAAGAAAATAGTACTGTATTAAAAACATAACTAACACGATTCGTTTCACTGCTATTATTAACACGTGTACATGCAGCTACATCAGTACTTTTATTTGTCTGATTTGTTTCTTAGAGATAATACGACTAGCCAACTAGTCGTGAATGGAAAGTTAATTTCGTATCACACCGCTTGAACCTTTTCTTGCTGAACCCTCAACAAATACATTTCAAGCATTGCAAGATTTTAATAACCGTTCATTATGTAGCAGCGTTGGCAAAAACTTATAAGCGTGAGTGAATATCACGCACTTAACGTTTATTGTAGTATTTTTACATTCATTACTTTCATTGTCTCGCTTGCGGTGCTTAGATTCCTGAGCCACCTATGCAGCAACAACTCCAACTAGTTATAGTATTTTGGCATTTGTGTATAAAGTTTAAATCATAAATAATATTCAGTGTTAAACATTTTATTTAGGCCTATCTATGGCCTTCAAAAAGTTGACGACTCTACACGTTTCGACGTTCCTGAGGATGATGTTAAAATCAGTTTTTCAGCCAAGTACAACCTATACCAGTACAGTTTTATGAAGCTTGAACTTTCACTTTCGTCATTATCTACATCTTCTATATACATATAAACATTCTGAAAATGTTGTATTTGAAATTCCTTTTTGAAGTTTCTGAATGTATTTTGTCCTGATTAAATGGTTTTCTGATGTTAAGTGTTAACGTGGAACACTATTAATATTATAAGGGTAACACTTGCCAAAAATGGTATAGAAAAATTCAGGTTTGAGACTTACGGAAGAATCGTGTATTCCTCTTAGTTAAAAATATATAAATGGGATATTATTATTTCAGGACAAACGAAAACCCTTGTTAAACAAAAGCCAACATTTAGTAAGCCCTCTGGTGGAAAAATGAAAAACCAGAAATACTAGATACCAAGCAAATCCGTGTTGGTCATGTATGAAAACAAAACTTGAAGTTCAATTCTGAGAAACCATATTCCTGGAAGCCGATACTATTGTCGGTACAACGAGTTGATACCAATATTATTATTTTTTCCTTGTGTAACATATGAGGTAAAGGGTATGTATTAAAATAACACGGTTATTGTTTTAGTGTTTTGAAAAGCGTACCAAAATACATACACACATCGTAATACTAATAGTAACAGACCTTAAGTTAGTTCTTCCACTAGTTGTAGTCTATATTAAACGTGCTTGGAGGAACTAGAACACTCTCAGTTCAATAATCTGAAAGTGAAACAGCTTCATAATGCAAGCACCGAAACGGAATATGCGAAAACTAGCTACAATAAAGCAGATCGAACAGATAGATAAAAGTTCTTAATAACTGGTACTGACTATTTTAGAACCTTAAAAACCCATTGTTGGGAACTTTTATTTTTAATAAGTTTATTGAGCAAAAAAAATTGACTAAATGGAAACAGATCATATCTATAAAAATTATATCCTTGTTTGAGCTGATCACACTTTTGTTGATTTGAAAGTACATTATTCAGACGGACAAACGTTTAATCAACAAATAAGTCACAGTTACATAAACTAGCCTCTATCATCTATGCAAACATTGAAACAGTTCTAAAAACAGAGTGAATTCCTAACGACTTACCATTTAGGGGTTTTTGATCTGGGAAGCATATTCTAAATAAGCCCTCATCACGATTGAAGTATCTCATGTCTTCCTCGAGTTCTTTCAGTGCTATTTCGTTTCCCTCCAGCCTTTCGCGAATGAAAGTTCTGTTAACCCTAATCTCGTACCAGTTGTCCGTGCCAAAAGCTATGGCTAAACAAGCCACAGCAACCACTGCTGCGATTGTGGCCAGAGAGAGAGTCACCGCTGAACATGCCATAAATGTTATAAAAATTGCAAGTTTAACAAACTTGTGTTTTATAAGACCGTTAATGTCGTAAGATAAAAGCACGTTAAAACTCGCTGTGCGTATGAATGTTTTTATATTTGCAACGCTACGATGACAAATGTGAACAGAAGATAAAGAAAAAAAAACAGTCGCAAGAACCTACCAACTACGAACCGGGCAGCATCTATTCTAATTGTGTGTTTAAGCATTCCTACGACCTCTACGAAAGATACTACCACACCTGAGAGAATACGTGACGGTGCTGTGAGGCTTGAATGGAGAAAGCAGAAAATCAGACACACTACTAAACAAGAAAATATACAAGATATGAATATCTAAAGAAGCGTGGAATCTTATACTGTGATAATGGCCGTTACTTACTTTATGTTTTGGCGTTTGTGATTCACATATATTTTAAAATAAGTATGACTGACAAAAATAACATACTTCCGTCATGTAATGTATTCATATCCCTGACGAACCTCAACAGTAAGCAATTATACACTTGAACATGTGCTTACGGTTGAGTGAGGTATGCCAGTCACGTGACTTTTAAAGAGCCTCGATGTAAAACCATGTTGACTTGAGTACTTGTGCAGTGAACAGTATGATTGAATTATAAAAAATGCCTAATGAAGACGAGCGAAAGCACGCCGAAACGTTGTAAGGATTTCAAACTCTAAACGGTTGCACGGTTCGTAAACAACTCGACTTTCGTATTAAGAACATTTACAACGTTAATAGAAAAAGAACATTGAGTTTTCGCCATTGTTACAAACTGTATTACGCTTGAGTTGCTCTTTTACCTTTCGCAACCAGATGCAGAGGAATTGGTAACGAGAGACCAGATCAAATTTAGTTTAGTGTGTCTGTTTTCTTATAGCAAAGCCATATCGGGCTAGTTGTTGTGTCCACCGAGGGGAATCGAACCCCCTGATTTTAGCGTTGTAAATCCAAAAGCTTACCGCTGTCCCAACGATGAACATTTAGTTTAGTTTAATTTACTGTGAATTTCAAAGTGGGGGTGCATTTATTTCTGGATTACTTACATAATGTATCAAAATATTCACCTGATAAAACAAATATCCACACATATAGTTATAAATGATAAACTATACCACATTATACAACATATGCAATAATAAATATATCCGCGCTTTTATGTAGATTATGCTTATTTAGATGAAGGTAACAAACAATCGCATATCTTAGCGTTGTAAGTCCGTAAACTTACCGCTGACTCATAGGATTTACTGGAATTTAAATCAATCAGTTTTACATAATGATTTTATTTTAATAGGAACTTTACCATGTTCCCAAAATACAGAATACACAAACCTTTCAATTTTAAATATGCAACTTTATACCTTTTATTATAACAAATCCTGCCAGCCCTCATGAAATGTAACTTTAGAACTTTAGAACCTAAGGGTTCATAACACCAAAATTCTAAATTCGGTCCCAGCGGTGAGCATAGCAAAGATAATCCATTGTGCAGCTTAGTGCTAAACAACAAAGAAGCAAAAAAAAATATTATGTTAAAAAAAAGAAAACAAATCACTTTGGTGCTTCTGTGATTAACCATTTTAGACTTTAAAAAAATCGACTTTAGTATTTTCATTTTGAGAGATTGTCTCCTCAGAATGAAATGGCCAGACATATTTCATCGGGGTCTTTCATCGTGAGCAGGATTAAAGAAATGTCCTACACTGAGAGGCTTCACATTACTTAGCCACATAACATGATTTTAAAATTATCTGCAATGTTTTTTTGAAACTAGCAATTGATTTGTTTGATAAATAGGTAAAGGCTAGAGGGAAAGCACCACCCACCAACTCTTGGGCTGCTATTTTACCAACGAAAAGTGCGATTGACCGTAACTTTATAACGTTCCCACAGCTGATAGGGCAAACATATTCAATGATAGGTTTCGAATCCGCGGACCCCCCAGTGGCACAGCGGTATGTCTATGGACTTGCAACGTTAGAAACCGGGTTTCGATACCCGTGATGGGCAGAGTACAGTTAGCCCATTGTATAGCTTTGTGCTTAACTACAAACAATTCGAATTCCCCACTCAAAAGCACTCTAACCTCCAGCCCACTTAAACAAGCCAATGAGGAATAATAGTAAAATTATACGGATTTAGTTTGAGTTCTAATAATTTTAGAACATGTTCGAATCAAAACGCGCTTTTTGACGCTAAGACAGTTTGAGTATCTTTACCTAAAAATATAATGCCTTGCACTTGAATTTTATCTAATTGGGGTCGTTTTTATTCTGAGGACTGCTCAAAAATCGGGAACTGATCCCTAAAACGAAGTAATCTGGTCGTATTGCACGTAAGAAATGTTATCTTTATTATGCCTGTATTGTTACTACGTATCTTATCTTATTTTTAAAAACTCCACTTTTATTAGCATTAGCGGAATTGCAAAATGAAAGTAGCGCTACAGTTATTATTGAGGATTATTAGTAAGATAAAGCTCGTATATGAAGACACACGGTTGTGTGTCGAGAGGCCAAAATAACCTGCAGGACACAGTGTGCGTATGTTTTAACAGGAGTGATAGTTTAGCGATTCTCTACTTTCAGTAGCTCGGACTGTGGTAATCCAAACTAACACACGTTTTCAGTGGATGTGCTCTACTAGACCATTACTTCACATACCAAATTTTAAGGTAATCCATTAAGAAATACACGAAATATAAAATCTCCGGTTTTGATTGAAGTTCTTCCTCTCTTTTTCTTCACCGCACCAAAAGTACAAAAAATGTATGTGATAGATAAATATACTTAATTTTCCTGGATTTTTTTCACATTTGGTACACTGGTAGATCTTTATAATCTAAATATAAGCTACATGTGCAAAGTTATTAAAAAAAACGCTCAATTTTGAGCAAAAAATTCATGTGAGCTATCAATCTAAAATGTTTATTATAGCTACACCTAAGAGTAAAGTGGACTGTTTTTTAGTTGTTGTTTTTTTGTCATTCGGATTAAAGACGGCTGATTTAGAACAGCAAAAGTATAGGGTGAAAGCGCATGAAGAACACAAGTATTTGTTAGGCAAAACAAATTAGATTAGCAGTTTCTAGCTCAAGTTTTCAAAAGAATCATATGGGTTGACGGTTATTATTCATTGCCAACTTTTAAGCACAAATTTGTTAAATTTTATGAAATTCTCCCGATTAAAGAGCGTGTAGCGT